AGCGCACAAATACGAGTTAACAACCACAATTGGAGATTAACGTGTTAATGAGATAAAAACACTGAAGGGAATCAGCTTGGGCAATAATTCTTGAACCTTTAATAAATTGGGAAAAATATTTTTATATGTAGTAACAACTTCTCATGAATAGGGTAGGGCGGAACATAAATGTGTAATTTGACATTAAGTAATTATACTGTCGAAACCAAAAAAATAACGTCATAACACATAACACTTAACAAACAACTATCGTACTACGTTCGGTGAAATTTCCAGTTAATTCCTAATTATAGAAACGTTTTTTCTCTATTTTTCTAAAGTTTGTCATCTGTCTCTTTTCGCCCCATAGGCGGGGTAAAATGGAACAGTCAGGGGCAAAAGAGATTTTGCGAAATAATAGCTACAATATTCATAAAGTGCAAAATATAAATTTCATGGATAAATTTGTTACTGATTGTAAGATAACACTATATACACTTGATCTGGTATTTTGTCAGAAATATTCATTAGCAGAGTTGGAGTAGCTATTATTTTGAATTATTTCTTGTAAAATTGCTTTTTTAAACTGAATTTTTATTTACTATTTTTTACAATTTACGTCTTCGCAAGGGTAAAGGTTCAAATTGGAAAAAGTAAGTGTGCGTGTATAGTTGATCAAAATTTGACCTTTTTTCGACGTTTTCTCAGGAATGACTGTATCGATGGAAAAATTTGAAAGCCATTTAATGATAAATAAATCTTTATTCTCATTGATTAAGACGACTATTTATACGAATTATAACTACCACTTACAACTATTTATTTCGTACCAAAAGCAAAATATTCTAAACATTTTGAGAATATGTTTAATTTTTCTCAAAAATTGCAATTTAAACAGCCAATCGATACTGATTTATATTTATACGCATGACGATTATATCCGTCATGCGTATACATTTTGTTGCTTCTTCATGCCGAGTATCTTCTCAGCACATTACTCCTTTAACTGGTTAATATAACATAAATACTAGAACATCAAAAATATTTTGGAACAACTTTTTTCTTATTTCTTTGCCGTGCATTACTTTTAATTTGCACACGTTTGTATCAATTATTTTTTTTGCTACACCTGATGTATTCCGAGAAACAAACGACATGTTTTGCAGAAGTAAACAACATCCGTCATTATACTTGTAGATGCATGAGATATGATTTATATTATATATATATATATATATATATATATATATATATATAAATGAAATAACCTGCAATTAGATTTCTAATATAACAAATAAGTTGTTTTTGAAAGCGCGATAATGTTTTAATCTGTTCTGATGATTTTTCCCATTTGTATTTGTCCTATTATTAAATTAAAGAATATTTTTTATGAAATAATTTTTACTCATTTACAAATATTTGTATTTTAAATAATTTAAATAATTTTTAAACATTTACAAATATTCATTATTGGAATTATGATCTCATTCATATAAAAAAGTCAAACAACAGCGGTGTAAATTTACAAATAAATTATTTTTTAGTTCTTAAATAAAGAGACGGTCGGTAAATAAATTGTTTATTAACGGAATACGCTGTGAGAGTGTAGTGTAAGCGGAAATTCAATTACAACAGGGAATGCATTATTAGTAAAAGTAATACAACGTGCATTGACTTATCTGTTTGTGGTTTGAGTGCATTAAAGACAAATCATTTTGAATTATTATTACAAAGTATAGAATTCAGTTATTTGTTAGTGTATTATATACACAGTAAAACCCCTTTAATTCAATTTTTGAGAAACAGAACCGAAAACATGCCTTAAACTAGTAGTGTGTAGCATCGTGCCTTAAGGAAAATCGCAGGAACTTTACGTACCGTAATGAAATATTCGAGGAATCTCGAAATGTTTTCAAATATATTATTATAAATAGTGTAGCTTTCATTTTTCATATTTTATAGCCAAAATATAAGAGCTTTTAAATTGTATAACGACGTTTAGTTAGCGAAGTTAGAATGAAAGATATTGTCTAATATTTATAAAAATTATATAAATTGAATTGCAAAGTTTAAATTATTTATTTGAAGTATATAAGTGAGCTTTAGAACTTTAGCTAGAATCCGAATTGTTTTGGATATTCAAACAAAAATTTTTTTTTGGATTTTTGAAGGTATGCCAAAATTTTCAGAAACTTTCATAACGTGAAGTTAAGAAAAAATTTTCAATTTTAATTTTTGGACGATTACCATAACGCACCCCACCGGAAGTTAAAAATAAAATATTTATTTTAGTTTATACGTTTCGAGACCAGACGTGTCTCATTATTCATAAAAAAATACATTATTTAATACAAACTTAAAGATTTATCAGCATAACAAGTACATAAGTGAAATTTTACATACCAGAGCAAGAGAAACGTATAAACTAAAACAAATATTTCATTAGATTTCGATGCATTGGTTTTTACTACCTATCAATATGTTTCAACGTCGAACAAAAAACTTCGATTACTATCATGTGATAATCTTTTAAGCAAAATAACAAATAAATCTGAGGAATTTATGTATTCATAACTAACGATATAAATATGTGCAAAATAACTTATAAACTTGTAGCAATTGCATAACCTTAAGCGAACTGTGCATATGAAAAGATTATCAGGCACTACTACATTAAATATATATACATATACATATACACACACATATATATATATATATATATATATATATTTGTGTGTGCGTATATCTTTGATGTGGAAAACTGATGCTTTACACATCGGTTTACTCCGATAAAATTAATGACTAATTTCATGTTTTTTTGTCCATTTGTGAAATTCTAGTAACTCAAGAAAGCTTGGATATTCCATAGCAACTAAATTATATAAAAACCCGTTTTTATATGAAACTAAATGATTAAATAATTGTATGATAAAAATAATTTCTGAATAAGGAGGGTATTAAATTAGAATACTTACTGATACGAATATAAGATTTGTGCGTCATTTTTTTATTTTGCAGTTCTTTAAAAACGCGATTGCTTCTGAAAGCATCTAAAAGATTCCAAAATTAAAACAATGCGAAGATGGTACTTCATATTCGCTAGTCTGATATAGAAAATAAACGGAATTGAAGAATAATAAATTAATATAAAAAATTTTGTTCATGTGTTCACGAAAAACACTATCTCAACATTGTTTCTTTGCAATTATTAGCTGTAATTTTTATTAATATTACAATATTTTCTATAATATATTCAAATGTTGTAATTCTACTAATATACAATTAACATAATTTAATTGATGATAATGCACATCGAATACACTGATAATACATAGTTCAAAATCAAGTTTTTTAAAAATCTTATTGAGAATTATATGTCAAGAAATTACAAGATCTACAAAGTTCAATAAAACAAATTAATAGAACCTATACTGTTCAACAAAGACTAACTTAAGGAACTACAGACTGTATAAAATAAAGCTCTACGACTAGTACTTAACAAATCCCGAGACCCACTGACGAAACACTATTAATCTAAAAACTACATACATGAACAGACTGATGTACCGACAGTATTTTAACAAATAAAGAAGCTTACATTTTGAAGGAATTTTTATGTCGGCTACAAGGAACATGACAACACTAACATCAATGCCCTTGGCTATTATACCTGGAAATGGTTTAACTATATTCTGATCTAACATTGGCTCCTAACTTAACATAACGAAATAAATTAAAGTATTGTTGTCTTCTAATTTTTCTCTCTTTTTGTTGTTTTATTATCTTTTCAAAACATTGCTCTGTGATATTTTGGGAAACTGTTAACTGTTAAAATTATTTTAAATTCATTGCGAAACTCATAAGATTTGTAAAAGTATAATACTCTAGGGTAAAAAACATGTATTAAAAATATTGTATCACACTCTATGTAATAAAATAAATGTTGCCTAATAAAAGTAGATTAGATTAGATTTTTGCGTCGTACATTTCTTTTATTTTGCAGTTAAATATATGTTCTGAAATATATATAAATATATGTTCTGAAGTATCCTGTTTTAAATTTAAAATTTAAGAACGCCTTTGACCTAAACATTGTTTGATATTTGTCCCCTAGTAAACTCACTCAAACGTGTATTTATGGACCGATTCTGCCGCACAACATACCAATTTTATAGCAAGGCTATGTTATGAAGAACTTTCCATACTGAATCGTTCTAAATATTGACAAAAGCCATGTGGTTACTGTGCTGTCAGGCGTTTTTCCGATTGTCAGGTCAGAAAGAAAACCTCACCTAGAAACCACATCGGGTCGATATCGGTTAGAACGTGAGCTAGTACCAACTAGTCCCAGGTTTGCTGGTTCTATTTCCGCTACCGCCAAGCCTGACATCAGGCATCTTTGATGTCAAATTTCCACTTGAAGTTATAGATCTCAAATCTAGCCTCAAGTGAAAGTCGCCTCTCGTGGGTATAGTTGCATATATAAAAAAATGTCAGCAAATACTTCGAGTATAGATAATTAGTCATAACTTGACTGGACAACTACTGGGTTGCCATCCATTCAAGATTCATATAATAAGAAAAGTTAAAACAATTACTGAATGTCCTAAGTGTGACAGATTGTAATTAAAATAAAAACAATAAAAAATATAAAAACCACACAAATGCCAAGAAAATTATCTTAGATAACAGGGTCTTTTTGACCCAGCTTCATAACATACAAGTGACTTTGCAGTTTACGTGTAAAACGCCTGAATGTACAACAAATACATGACATTTTGACACAGTATTCAGTATAATTTAGTAGCATAATGTATGAAGGTGGAGCGTAACATGGCCTTGCCATAACATTGGTCTGTTGTGCGGCAAAATCGGCCCATTAGTTAGTGTTTGTATATTGTATATCTGTTCTTTTTAAAGCACACTGCCGAACATATAGAATAATTTTTCTGATATTACCAATAACTATCATATGACTGTCATGCTATAAAATGATTAAAACAAAATTATGAAACTAGGTGCGCCTTTTAATGCTGGTGATTTTCGTTTAGCTCGCAGAGGCAAATCGCACGGCGAGGAGACAAATGCTGCCGATGGACAGACGCGCTGCTTCGGCATGCAGCGGGGACCGTTTATTATTGCTGCGTCGTTTGCATTGTTAGTGTGCGCCCTTCTCGCTTTCGGACTCTACTTTATCGTCGACGTCAAGAAACGCGAGGTACCGTACTACGATGATATTATCAGCGACGGCCGTGGCAGCAACGCCACCCTAGGTAGATAGATCCCTATATCCCTTTGCTTCTTTGCTCTTTTGTGACTCGTTTCGATGAAAAGCAACTTCCAAATATGTTTTTACAATTTTTAAATCTTTTCAATTGTATATATATATATATATATATATATATATTAGGGTGGTCCTTAATATGTATATTTTCGAATTTCTTTGCACACAAGGGTTCAAATGCTTCCAAATTGATAAAAAATTCAGTGACAAATGATTCAAAAGTAACAAAATTTTGAGAATAATTGTATTTGCTTATTTTGATCATAAATAAAAAATACAATAGAAATTTGACATATTTTATGAAATTAGTATTACTTAACCTGTTAACCGGGCAAGACGCATAAATGCGTCAGGCGTAAATGCTATCTGTACGGGTAGGACATATAAATACGTCCTCAAAAAAAAAAAAAAATGCACCCTGCGAGGGACGTGTCATATATTTACGATCGACTATTAAACTAATGTTTGTTTTGTGATCTCTTTTATACTTCAAAAATATTAAATAACGATATGCATATATTTCATTTATTATGTTTTAAAAAAAGATAATGATGGACTTTTGGTACAGTTGCATAATTTGAACGAGAACTCCTTGATTAACTGGTTAATATATATACTTGATAATATTAGTAATTATAGAATAATTGAATTTTGAACTCGAATAACTCTTATGCCAATAGATTTAATAAAATATTATAAAAAACCTTTTTTGTAGAGCGTCAAATTTTCAAACATGACACGAATTGTTTCTTTTGATTCATTTGTCGCTGAGTTATAAGATTCTAAAAATCAAAATAATTTTGTCCAATGTTATTTCGAGCAATTTAAGACCCTGAAATCAAAGAAATTCAAAAACATCCATATTAAGGACCACCCTATATATATATATATATATATATATATATATATAAATAAATATTCTACGAATAGTTTTAAAGATGAAATAATTTATAGAACCTAAAACCTTTAGTTACCAAACAGTCACAATTTTTTTTCAACAAAGTAGAGCAAAGCATCATCTCCCATTTCAGATATTTATTGAGAGATATTTTAGTTCCTTGTACTATTGAATATCTGATTTATCAATAATATCACTGACAATTCTTAGGTTAGTTAAATATTGTTTGATATTATATCCTATTTTAATCTGATTATAAAAATTTACATCCTAAATTAGTTAGCTTCCATGAGTTCATTCTACTGATGTATCACTTAAAATCAATTAATGATTAATTAGTCCAAATATATTATCCTCTCCTTCAACTCAACAAACATTCAACAAATAGCAACTAACGAATTTTCAACCAGGATCAATTTCTAATTTCCAGGTGGCGGGCATCAATTGATATACCGTGATACCTGGGGTGGCGTAGAGCCTCGCGCTACTAGGCGTCTCTACCATCCGACGCCGTACGTCGTGCTCACCCACGTGGGAGGGCTGTCCAGGCGCTGCGAAGATCTCAGCACCTGCTCATTAGAAATGAGAAACATGCAGGCCGATCACTATATTCGATTCGGATCGCCAGATATCGGGCAAAATTTTATGGTAAGAATTCAATTTTCATTTCGTCTTGTATACGATAACGAGTATTTGATTTGATCTTGTTTAAGTTTAAGATAGGGTGGGGCACAAAGGTCCAATTTGACTTTGGACAAGTATGTTGTGAAACCTAAACCAATTACATTGCAACAATTATCACATATCAAACAAACAACTATCTGACTATGTTCAGTAACCCAACTAATTCATTGCAAAAATATGCTTTTTTTCTATTTTTCAAAAATTTGTCACCTGGTCTTTTTTACCCCATACGCGAGGTAAAATGAGACAGCCAGGTGGAAATAGATCCAATGTTTTATTTTTAATTTCAAAAGGAATTTTGCGAAATTATAGCTACAATATTCAAGCAACGAAAAATAAAAAAAATCATGGGCACATTTTTTTACAAATACAACACTGTATAGGGAGAAGTTCCGTAACGCCGGACGGCACCAAAGACCGGACACTGTATTCAACACGTATTATTAAAGCGAGTATAAATCTTTTAATTTCAAAATACTAGTGAAAGGGGAATAGGGGGCAAACAGGCGCAGGATCACGCGCCAAGACTCTGTGACGCACACGGCCACGGCGGTAGCAACTCTTTGCTGTTTTAGGCGCAAAATCACGGCGTCACCTAATTATCAATGGAAGTAATTCTAGCATATTTATGCATTTACATTTGAGTGGTATGGTGAGATAAAAGTGATCCGTAAAATGGTAGAATATCATTAGATCTTCTAACCAAATTTAGTAGGTGCCATCAAATGAACGAAAATGTCTGTGCCTTAGCACCCGACACTAAGTCGTCCCTTAGTGCAGGACAGTAAACATATTGATATTTCTTGTGAGAATTTACGTAATTTATTCCAATTATTTAATTTTATTCTGTATAAGTGCTAACGGTTACTATACATACCCACATTTTTTGTATTTCCTAGTCAAAAAATGAAAAGCTTATGAATGCACCAGCTGAGAGCATCGGTGTGGCCCAGCTAAAAGGGCGGATGAATAGTGACTTTTTTTTTGCAATATCTAAGAATATTTGTTGAAGACACATGTGCAGACATTACAGAGCGTGGAGATGGCTACATATGTGATCAATGCAGGCTATTTTGAATTGTCCGGTACTAGGTGCCACTGCTTAAAATCATATTTTTTGATAGCAACGTTTGATTGATAATATTAATTATTTTTAGCAAAGATTGCGGTTTTGTTATTTGAGTTTGATTTCTAACCTAGTTATCTAACATAAATCATAATTTAATAAATATTTCGTGAAATATTTTTTGATTTATTTATAAATAACTTAGGTGTCCGCCACTTGGGGACTTCTCCTTACAATCTTCATCTGGTATTTCGTCAGATATATCCATCAGACTTGATATAACTATTATTTTAATTTATTTCTTGTAAATGTCATTTTTAACTGAATTTACATTTTTATTTACAATTTTTTATTGTTTACGCTTTTGCCAGGGTTAAGGTTTAGTTGGTTCTTTTTATCCCACTCACATGTAAGTTATTATGGACTCTATATAAAAACATCTGCTAAATATAATTTAAAAATAATATTACATCTCGTAAACTAAACAATGCAAACAAAGAAACGAACGATAGAAGAAAATACTTTTGTTATAGTTTTTCAAATAGCCGTTTATCACCTGAAAGCGACGTTGCTTGATTTGAGGTGATCAAATATCTTTATCCTTACACTTTCAAATATTATCGTTAAAAAATTTCCTATTTGTTTTTGAGATATTATTGGTGGATCTTTTTACCCGCGCATTTTGTTAATTTATAATTTAATAATACGTATTTGTCTAATTCTTCGGATCCGTTCCGTATTGTTCATTATTATATTAATATTTCTCAACATATTGGAAACAAATGAAGCTCTATTATCAGAATAAATTCATCATTGTCAGGAATAAATGGTTAATAAAAAAGGCAAAAATTTGACATTTATGTATTAAATTTCTGTATGTTTTTTACCGTAAGTGTTGAGGATTATTTTACGGAGTACGTATTATTCTACGACTGTTACATAACTTCACTAATTAGTTTTCAAAATGGGATTTTGTAAAGTTTATTCAGAAAAAGAATTACTTTGCAAATATAGATTGATTTTGATATGGCGTGGAACTTTTGAAGTAATTTGTATATACAAATCAAAGATCATATCTTTTAACTAATTCGAGGCGATTTCTTATGTATTGATCGCTATGAATTTTATTTGGGTTGATTTCACAAAAAATTGTTTTTGTCATGAAACCTTTCGCCTGCAATGATAAGCGACGTCACGTCTTTTTAATTACCCAGGTATTTTTATCAAAACAGTCATTATCGCTCATAGTAAATATAATTAAATATTTATTCCGACACAGATTCTTGTCGAAGTCCATACTGCATTTATTTACAGATATAGACTATTTAAACTAGTTTGTATATTATATCACATGTTTTTAATTTTATAAAAAAATAAAATTGTTATATAATTGTACCATGTTTTTGGATGTGGTTTATATTTTTTGCATTTGTATGGTATTGACTACGAATTCTATACTTCAATGACGCACGCATCAGACTTATGACGCAGTTTCTATAAAACTTTCAAATAGTAAAACGTATAAGTATCTGAGAATATTGTTCTTATCATCAATTTGCATGTTAAAATTTTTATTATTTCTTTTCTTTAAATAAATATATTAAAATACATAATATACAATAATTTATTAATGCATAACTTAATTTATAAGTTGACCTTTATTTATTCATTTCCTCAGTGAACAAACTTGAAATTTTTAAGAAACGTTACCTGATGTAGCATTATTTTAAAATATAACTACTGGTAATTTTAAACTAAATGGTTTTAGACTAATTGTCAAATTATATTAGAATACTAATAAAAATACGATCCATTGTCGTTAACAACAATTTTACAAAAATTTATTTCAAATTTACAAAAATTTGTTTTGATATAATTGGTTTGGTTTTCACAATATAATTGCTCAAAATTGGACTTTTGTGCCCCGACTTACTCTCTTTCTATATATAAAATAATTTATTTAAAACTTTACGAGTTTTCTAATAATTATGTATTTTTCGAGTAAAATTATGATCAGCGCGCTTCATGTAAGTTATACTATTGTATATTGTTATCAAACTCATCGTAATTAATCTGCATACAAGTTAATTCCATCCTTGAATTATAACATAAACATTCTATAATTATTAAGAGCTAACAATTAATAATGAATAGAGAATAAAACAATAATGTTATATAATAAGGTAATGAGATTGCACGATTTACCACTATCCGGCAAACTGCTGAGTATCAAAGTTTATTAAAAATAATAATCGAATCTTGTCGAAAACAATAACTGATCAAATATTCCTATTTAATTAGTTAATTTCAGTATGTTTAACATGATAAGTAACTTTTAAATTAGCGATTTGCTAATTTTATTCAGTCATTCTGAATCGTTTCATACCAAAATTGGAAATGTATATGTGTGTATGTGTATGTGAGCTGAAATACGACCTTTTCTCATAATCAGAAACATCAGCACTCATTTCATAAATTTGAAAACCTTTTGACAAAACTCGATAAGGAATCGCGTTGATTAGGTTTGCGAAACGATCAGCCGAACCGTTTTTCCAGTATTAGCAAAAAAGTGCATGATTTTTCGAACATATTTCCGTTAAAAATCTTGGACAAGTTTTAAAAACTCAAAATATGTCAGAAGAAGATCGTGCTAATTAATTAACTTTCCGTAGGGTCGTAAAAAATCGTTATTAACATTTTTATATATCTTTACGTTTCAAAGCCTTCTGAACATTTTGCAATATCTTATTTTTAGACAAAATGGATGTATGTTTGTGTGTAGTAAAAAGCAGAAGAAGGAAAGTCTAATCTCTCAAATCGGTTTTATAAATGACCATATCAAATAATAGCAGTGGTGTTAACTGCAACGCTAAAATTAAAAAAAAATAAGTTCAAAAACCGGTTTTCGTATTTGCCTCGGTTCGGTTCGGATCTAGTTCTGCAGAAAAATAATGTTTCGAAATCCTACTCACGGTTCGGAAAAACAAGCTGGTTCGTTTCGGTTCGGGTTCGGTTCAAACCCCTGTTTATAATAATACATATAATAATTCGTCAAAAATTATAAAAAACAGCAATTTTTTCAATTTTTTCAATTTTTTTCGATACGTCAGCCAAGGCTTGTTATCAAAAAATCATCTTTAGTTCCGGAACGCATTCCTGTCCAAAAAGGAAGTACCGGAACGGCATTACGCAGCGTTCTGGATCGAATAAAATATAATGAAATTCAATAACCAGTTATTTAAACCATAATTTTGCATTACAATCGTATATTGTTTGTAATAATACAATAATAATAAGAATATGCCGAATAATAATATATTACTAGCTGTAAGTGGAATTCTGTCTTAAGGCAATTAGGGCATCGTGCCTTAAGGCAAATTGCTGGAACTTTCCGTACCAAAAATTATTATTTTTTTAAAAACGATTAACATTTTTGAAAAAATTTTACTTCGAAAAAATTAGATTTTTGAGAAACTATTTGAAAAAAATTATTTTTTTTGAAAAAAAAATGTTTTCTTCATTTTGACATATTTTGGATACTCTGAAGTTTTTTTCAAAGCAATCGTACTGCTTTAACTGCGTAGAGACAAAATGTCAAAGCGCGTAAGCGCCGCGTCGCCGTCTAACGGATAAACATTGGTACGGAACCCACAGGAATGCAAACAAAATTTATACTTATTGCTAAAATCTCTATAAAATATCTGATAATTGGATGTGCATATGTGTAATGATCATTTTTGACCGCCAAATGGCATTTTTTTTTACTTTTTTCATTAGATC